TAATTACATTTCCAGAAAAGCATTTAAATACAAGATACAAATACAACCAAATGTATTTGGTCTCCTCCAAATACTTTTCCAAATACATTCCTCAAAATATGCGTCAGCGACTTCAGGGCACTTGCAACGGATTTCTAGGTATCTCATTTTAATTTTCCATCGCACACTCGGGAGTTGGTGTGCTAGGCTCTAGTAAAGTAATAGAAATATAATCACAAAAAATGTAATCAGCTTGGACGTAATAGGTGAAAAAAGTACAGAGCTTCAAGCAGCTTTTTTTGTCGATTACATTTTGGTATAGACCAGGGGTGGCCAAGCTGCGGCTCGCGAGCCGCATGCGGCTCTTCGCGTGTTAAAGTGCGGCTCGCCGCTCCTTCCCTTATCCCTCCCCTCCCCCCCCCCCCTTCCTCCCTTCCGGAGCACTTCCCCTAAAAGAGAAATGAAACGCATTTTAAATCGAAATACAGGTTGCGGTTTGGTAGTGTTGTGCTACTGTTGCCTTACGCACAACTGGACTGCTTTTGACTCAGATAGACCAAATTAGTTTGAGTTTCGTTTATTGCTCTAAACAAAAATCGGCGCCCCGTCCCCTTGTCCCCCCGCCTTCGCGGCTCTTGAAAAGTTTGTGATTTTGTTTGCGGCTCTTAGGCCGGTTCAGCCTGGCCAACAAAGAACCGAGACGATGAAGACGCGCATCACTAGCTAGAGAATTTTTTTATTGTTGGAACTCGCACCAGTTACGAAAATCTGGACGACCCGCGCATTTAGAATGTTCCAGGCAAACATGTGGATGGAAATCAGGCTGGAAAGCATCACAAGTTGTCACTGGCACTTATTCAGCCAGTCTGCCTGTGAACGTCGATTTCGTCACTATTCTTGCCCTGGACTAGCACCGTAATCACAAAGTCACTAAACGCTTGGGCTTGATTGAGAGATACTGCATTCGGCGCAGAACGTAGTTTCCTTCCTGCTCTGGACAGTTCCTTTAAAATAAAGCCGGAGGAGAAAAAGAAAAAAGCCCCATGGCCGAATAAAGGATGGAGACTATATCTTACAACCACATGCATAAAAACAAGAATTGTAACTTTGGCAATAACATTTATTTAACGTAATAGAGGCAAGTTCCGCGGCCGCCCGGCGTGCCCGGGCGCCCGGTGAGCGAGACGCGAACTGCCGCAAGACTGGTGTATGAAGAGATGAGGAGTTTCTTGGTTTGTTGTTGCCGTTGGCGTTGAGATGAAGAAAAAGCAGCTTTGGACACGTCTTAGGATGAGCAAAGTGAAGCGTGGCAATAAATTTGAGGGATGTATTTTTGCCCACAAAATTTTATTTAACTACAATTGTACTTGAAATACCCACGTTTTAGTATTTAAATACACACATCAAATACATTACCCAACTTGTAATTAAATACGAATGCAAAATAACAAAGTATTTGAAATATATATTTCAAATACTTGTATTTGAAATACTGCCCATCCCTGCTTTCACAAAGTGCAGCCCCACTGAAGTTGTGTTTGCTGTACATATATTTTTAGCATCTCAACATGTAAGCAGATATCACAACAGTGACTTTGCAAACCCAGTAACAAAATTATCACTGATATTTTACCCTTTTTTGCTAACGCTTGGCAATCACTGCATAACATTGAGCAGTCAAAGCTGGCAACATAGGGTGTTCAATACATAAGTTTAGTTATATATTTTACAAATAACCAAACCTTCTAAATATGTTGGCCATTGGAATAAGCCAGAATGATGGAACAACATATATTAAAGTGAGATAGTGGCACCTTTTGTCAGATGGCATCTCGTTTCATTGATGAGTACAAGATAGACGAAAAAATGTTATTTTGATCATCTGTATATAGCATATACAACATTGTTGAAAATATCCGGATTGAATTGTACTGATCTAATGAAGCAAAAGGTTACCAAGCAGTCAAAAGATTGAATCTTCGGCAGCACCGGGATTCAAGCTTTGGGTCAATAATATGTGCAGAGTCACAGTGCAAAAGTCACATTATTCCTATTTGTCAGGATCCAGAGGCCTTCATGACGGATCATTCGTCAGCCGACAATGCTGCCCTCCAAGCAACGTAGCCAGAGGGGACCCAGCTACTGTGCCAATTCCATGTCGCTCAGGCAGAGTGGCGTTGGATAATGAGCAACGTGGAACAAGAGAAGAAGCGGATCTTATTGGTGGCGTTCCAAGAGGTTGGGAGTTAAAATGCTTTATTTACATGCTCATTCCATGGGTTGTGGCCAGAATCTTTCCATTTTATTTGCCGAATTAAAAAAAAAATAAATAAACCCTGAAAACACAGAAACCTAGTTTTAAATTTACAAGAGTTAGGGCAACATAAAAATGTTGCCCTAGCGAGTAGAAACTTAAAAATGTTGTAGTAATTGAATGAATTAATGATTTCTTTATTTAAGATGGAAAGAGTCTGAACATCTGAGCAGCTGAAGACGAAATTGTCTTCTGACTGGGCCCTAGGACTTGGTTACAGTACTTAGCAAAAAAAAAAAAAGGAACAAAACAACAAAGAAAAAGAACGACGTTTATCATCCTCCGTAATGCCGAATTAGAGCGCAGCTCTTGAGGAGGAGGAGAGGATGGTATGCCCCTGTGACGTCAGAGGGTGACATCACACGTGACGTCACCCTCGTGACGTCGCACATGACGTCACTAATGTGTGACGTCACTATGGGAAAAATCCCATAACGCAACGCGCAGTTACGCCGACGGCATTGTTCATACACTGCGTGAAGTAGTTCTCACGAGATTAGGTTGTCATAGAAAGAACCTGGCATACGTCTTGATAAAATAACTAGGGTTGTGCAAATATTCAAAATTTTGAATAGTAGTTTCAAATATAAATACTATTTCATATTCGCTTCAAGAAGAACTGCGCTATTCGCATTTTTCAAAGTGTTGATTGCAGCGGGTTAGCCCCGTTGAGCGCACTTCTTACCAAGCACCGGTGCACTCTGGAGAAGCAGTATTCGCGGAAGCGAGCTCCACGGGCGTTGCTTCTCTGCATTACAGCGGTGCGCGGTAAGAAGTGCACTGAACGGTGTAAAGTGCTGCAATAAACACTAAGAAAAGTATGAATATCGAAATTGCCTGCTTGGAAGAAAAGCATACATTCAAAGCGGGATGGTGCACGCGTGCCGGTTGTATTTGAAAATAAATAGAAACTTTGTGAATGTGCAAATCTACATTGTAGTAAATGTTTCAAGATTAAAGTGATTTTTATGCAAGGGTATATGTTAGACAGAGGTGCCCTTACAACCTGCGTTCATCATGCGCGATTCTTTCGCTTTTAACTCGAGATTAAAGAAAGAATATTTATATAGCAAGATTTGTATATACACTCTATTGGGTATAGATGGCGATCTCTATAGGATTCATTTTATGTCAAATGCGTCGTTTACTTGCCATCCCAAGACATGAGAAAGCAAAGATGGCTGCATTTCCCAGTGAGCAATGTTCGCTTACATGCCGCCATAGCTAACTAGCCACATTTACGCCGACGTCATCGTTAATCCAAACACTATGATTACTGGAAACAGGCTATCCTTCAGCGTTAAAAAGAAAAAAAAATCAAGCGAAAAATTAGGGTGGGTTATCTTTTGGTATCTCGGGACATTACGGTGTTTAAACTGATGTGGTCATTTCTCTGTTTTTCAGATCATGAATGCAGACTCACCACCAAAGCTCGAAGCTGCAACCGAAGAGCTCCAAGAGTGCCCCCAGAAACACTACGTGGCCCGGGTGAACAAATTCCTGGAGAAGCAAGAGGAATGGGCTCTCCTTTTCCGCGCTGGAGTTATGACCCGTGGTCATAGTAAAATAACTTCGCGGAAGCCTCCATTCGAGTCCTGAAGGATGCTATCCTTGGGAGGCAGAGAGTGTACAACGCAGTGGCCCTTGTGGACATGGTCACAACTGTGTGGGAGCAGTACCTTGAGGGCGGCTGTTGAAACATGCCAACAATCGTGTAGCTGCCCACTGGCTCCTGTACGACAAGCTGCGCGAAATAATTCCCCCTGAAGCTGACGACGCCATCAAACAACTCGACGAGCACACCTTCCAAGTGCCCAATGCAAAGCGGCAGAACATCGCCTACCATGTGTGAAAGGACGTGGGCCTCTGCACGTGTCGAGTGGGCCAGTCAGGGGGATTTTGTAAGCACCAAGCGTTGGTCCTTGAGAGATTTGGAGGAACCTTCCCAAATGCACCCCCGCTCACACCAGAAGATCGGCTGGAGCTGAGAAGACGGGCACTAGGAGACCGATGCCCTGAGCCAGAGTATTTTGTAAACTTCAGAGACCTAGAGCAGCCATCCACCAGTCGGCCCAAAAATCAAGAAGGCCCACCAGACTGTCCACAGGCAGCCACAACAAGCGAAGCACACAGCATGGTGCACCCAGACTCTAACCTTCAGCAAGAAAATGAAGAGGTTTGGATTTTTTAATCACTACACTTCTAGGATATACAATTGGAGTAAAACACACCAGCTGAATGATGGAACTGCTGATATATGACGCAGACAGTACTCAAGAATGCATGTCAAAATAAACTTAGATAACTTAGATGCACTTTACACGGCTTCACAGCTTTAAATCTAAGAACACAAAAACTTATATATATATAACTTTAAATTGACTATCCCAAAAATGCCTATGAACCATAGTTTCCATCAATAGCAGGCTAAGATCGGGCAAAGGCAATGCTTGAAATATGTCAATATCCTTTCCAAGGCACAAGTCATAGGAAATATTCTTTAACAAAGGACGCAAAATGGAATTAAAAAATTGTTAAAATTATTAGCAATACTTCAAGCAGAGAATTGCGGGAGGAAGTAATCATTTCTAGCACCCTTCTTTGTACCATGAAGATTGTTGATAAGTGAGCAAAGTGTTTTTTTCTTTTTTTTTCAGAAATACACTTTTTTTGCAGTGAAAGATCTAAATGTTTTGCTTTTACCAACATGACAAACAATGCTGTTTTTAAATCAACCAAGCAAAACAAAGCTTTCTGGTGTGTGTGTTTCATCCAAATGTATATCATAGCAGATGAAAGGTATCATTACCACTGGTTTTTAACATGATACCTTCCATTTAAACTAGAATTTCCTGTTAAACTTTGCTGCAATCACAAAGCTCAACCCTTATTCGTTTGAACTCTCCTCAGTCATGGGACGTTCTTGGGACTAGTGCGTCTGACATGCAAGTGTTTGTCAGACGTGGCCAAGCCAATGAAGGTTCAGTTGTGCAAATATCTGTTGCATGCATGAGGCCTAAAGGGGTTAGGACACGCCAAGGAAAATATGAGATTACTATACTGCTAGCACCCATTGTATGTTCCTATATTTTTGCTAAATATGCTTGAAAATGGCACAATAGGTTTATGGATAAATCGATTTTTATGTGTTGGTGGGTCGCGGTGACTTTGTTCACCTTTTAAAGAGCGGCATCTCCTTGCACACAATCACAGACTTTGCTCCCTTGGCGTCTCCTGCTTCAGTTCCCTCGTTTACTTACCGAGTTAAGAGCACGCGGTTTCGAGACGATGAGGCCCACGACATCGCGCGCTTCGCCGGAGTTTTTGACACTGATTGCAGCAGCAATGAAAGTGACTGTTATCAAGAGATGTTGGAAGCTGGTAATGTTGATTTCGACCTGCTGGCAATAAGCTGCAGCGACGATGAGATCATCAAGGACAAACCGGCCGTTGTCCGTGAAGATCTTGCATGACGCATGCAGGGGGGAACATCAAAGGGAAAGAGGGTGAGCGCGAGAGTGTGCGATCATACTGTGGCAAGGAGAGCTTTATTGAGCATGGGGGCATCTAGAATGGCCGAGCAGGCAACTAAAGATGATCACATGGTTTATGGGTGCCATGGCGTGACTAAATTGGACAGTGTTGTTTGGTCGCCAGACGAAAATGATCAACATTCATAAGTTCATTATTGCAAAAACCAGAGTTCCAAAAATTACAAATCTTCATGTGTATACATGTGGCCTATGAGAATCACATTTCAAGAATAATCCACCCATTCATTATTGTTTTAACCCCCTTAAAGGAATACTGAATCGAAAATCAAAATATCCTTCTCACATTCAGAAATAAGTTATGGCCAACTCTATCTGCTAATGACAATTGCACGCTTGCATTTTTAATGGATAGTTATATTTTTCCTTCCAAAAACCTGTTCCAGCAAGCGCTTGAAGATCAGCCACTTAAAAAGATACTTCAACGAAATTTGAAATATACCTGTCGTGTTCAGAAATAGGCTGAATATGATCCACAATATCTGTAAATGACAATCGCACGTTTGTATTTTGAGCCTGATGGCTGTATTTTTTGTTATAAACGGCCCACTCTGGCAAGCGCTCGGAGAGCAGCCAGCGGAGAGCATGTGGCATTCGACGTATTCGTGACGTAGATTGTCTCGGAATGAGCAAAACTGCGGTGAGGCTGGCGTCGAGAAGATGTCCGAGCCGTTCCAGCCACCGAAGTGGCCGAAGCACGCCAGCGATTGGGCCACCCACCGCAACTAACCTCGAAGCTGCTTTTGTATAAATTTTGAGTAACGGGTTAACCTTCTATAATCCTGTAGAGGGACAATAGCCATGTCTGGGACACACAAAAAAGTGTCTCGGGGAGAGGGGAGTTCCTCCTTTCCTCCCCTCTCTCGTGGTGGCCGGAAATGAGACAGTCATCGTCACTACCTGTCAAGGTTCCTAGATGGGCATTGCAAACGAGGAGTTAGCGACATTCACCAGGTGCTCTTTGCTAATCGTTTAATTCGTTTTAAAATTCCTTTTCGTGTCTTTTTCAACAAGAGATTGTTGTGTCTGATGTGATACTGCTCCCTTGAACACGAATAGACCAAAAAATAAGCGCCGAAATTTCGTTGTAGTATCCCTTCAAGAGCGCAATGCATTATGAGAGACGTGACATTCACTGGCCCAGCACGGGCAAAGCTGCTTGGGGGCTTACGTGGTTAGGAGCTCAGCCATTTGGTGCCGTTAACGTGTTACAACCTGGCTGTTTTAGTTGCCCCTCGCCACTCCCCGCAGGAGTTGAATAGGCCAAAAGAGAAGGGAAATGTGGTTCAGCAGTGCTCGCGTGCACGCAGCTTGCCACCGTACTTCTACGGAGCAGTGCTGCTTTTAAGTTCAGAGTGATGTAACGACTTTCGGTTCGTTCCTAAACAGGGATGGGCAGTATTTCAAATACAAGTATTTGAAATACGTATTTCAAACACTTTGTGTATTTAAATACTAAAACTTGGGTATTTCAAATACAATTGTAATTAAATACAATTTTGTGGGCGAAAATACATCCTTCAAATTTATTGTCACTGTCCAGAGCAGGAAGCAAACTACGTTCTGCACCGAATGCAGTGTCTCTCAATCAAGCACAAGCGTTTAGTGACTTTGTGATTACGGTGCTAGTCCAGGGCAAGAATAGTGACGATATCGACGTTCACAGGCAGACTGGCTAAATAAGTGCCTGTGACAACTTGTGAAGCTTTCCAGCCTGATTTCCATCCATATTTTTGCCTGGAACATTCTAAATGCGCGGGTCGTCCAGATTTTCGTAACTGGTGCGTGTTGCAACAATAAAAAATTCTCTAGCTAGTGCTGCGCGTCTTGGTCGTCTCGGTTCTTTGTTGGTCTATACCAAAATGTAATCGACAAAAAAAGCTGCTTGAAGCTCTGTACTTTTTTCACCTATTACGTCCAAGCTGATTACATTTTTTTTTTTGTGATTATATTTCTATTACGTTACTAGAGCCTCGCACAATAACTCCCGAGTGTGCGATGCAAAATTAAAATGAGATGCCCAGGAACCCGTTGCAGGTGCCCTGAAGTCGCTGATGCAAATTTTGAGGAATGTATTTGGAAAAGTATTTGGAGCAGACCAAATGCATTTGGTTGTATTTGTATCTTGTACTTAAATGCTTTTTTGGAAATGTAATTAGATTTGTAATTAAATACTTTTTAACGAAGTATTTTGTATTTGTATTTCGATACATATTTGCATGTATTTTGCCCATCCCTGTTCCTAAATAATGTTTTAATGTCTTTTCAAGCAAAATAAAGGTGTCTCCGTGGTGTGGCCAGAATGTGGTTGACATTTAGAGAGCAAAATAGGCACTAGAATTTTGTTGCAGTATTCTTTTAACGTATGACAAACTGCTGCAAGGTACTAACAATCCTAAAGATTCATAAAAGTTGCTTCATACTGACAAAAACTACCTTATGTCATGACAGTTGCAACAGAACCGATTTAACATATGAACTAGTAAGCGTTTAGCTGCATGCGAGAATACCTTCATACATAAGGTTACTTCATAGATGCAACTGAACAGAGTTTCAGCACGTCATTTCAATTTTCTCCTCGGGCCTTTGCACATGCACAGTATTGCAATCAAGTATCCTTATCAGAGTGAAAAAGGAATCTGTTGGAACTCCTCTACATAAATTAATTTTTCATTATTCCCATCTCATCGGTATACTTCATTAATCTGGATATTTCTGATACTTCCTCTTTAGAAGCCATTAAAAAAGAATGAAAATCGTTTGTGATAACTTAGTTCTATAACTATCACAAAATGATATTCCATTTCCAGGAATATCTCTAGCTCCTTCATCAGATCCATGAAGAGATGTTGACCCTTTCCCGCCTGACGGGGGACACATATGTCCCAAAAGTTTGCGATTTTTTATTATCTCCTGCATGCTCCATATCCCGGCCAAAACCTGTCGGGACACTGGTGGCATTGGCTGCATTTCCAAATCGTACCGTTTTGGCGCTGCGATCGCGCGAACACAATTTTCAAGATTGTGTCCGTCAGTACTACAAGACAAAAATGGAACGCGCTGCAGCGTTTTTCGCGCCCTGAAAAAGCTTGTTTTGTTTGCTTAGCTTAGGCTTCAAATTAGGCTAATGTTACTTTGTTTGACGTTTGACGGATATTTGAATAAATATTGCTGTTACTAAATACTACTACTCGTTATTTTTTCACCATGGCAGCAGGTGGAAGTTCACTTAGCCGTGATGAAATCGACAAGCTCCTATTTGAAGACCTACCTTGCGATTATTCAGCTGATACGGATATTGAGTCTGATTTTGATGACCCGGATAGGGAACTAGGAAAGACTAACTGCCCACGTGATCTGCAAGAGTTTCTTGACCAAGTAGGTCTGGTCGATGCCTCAGAGCCAGGGACGGACTACAACCAAGCAGAATCGCACAGCACAGGCGGAGTCAATAACAACCCAGCCTCTGAAGACTCGTGTGTAAGTCCAGAAGAAGTAGCCGCAGTCTCTGCGTTTTCCTTTCGCCAGAAACGCTACGAGTGGCGTCGAAGGCAGCACGTGACTGAGAGACCGGAGTTCAAGGAACAGGAAGGGGCTTCCGAAGACGTGTTCTGTGGTTGCCCAACACCAGTGGAATTTCTTCTAGCTCTGCTTCACGTGCCACTCCAAGAGGAAATATATTTTCAAAGCAACCTATATGCCACGCAAAAGGGCATTGACCTCCAGCTGTCAACCACAGAGCTGCTTGGCTTCCTGGGCATCAATTTCTTGATGGGATATCATCAACTTCCCTCTTGGAGGGACTACTGGTCAGGTTCCCCAGACCTTGGGTTGCCATTGGTTTCAAGAACTATGTCGAGAGACAGGCTCTCCAGGCTACTTTCAAACTTGCACCTAAATGATAATTCATTGTTATCCAGTCAGTGCAACGACAAGCTCTACAAGTTGAGGCCACTGATAGATGGGCTGAATAGGCAGTTTAAACTAGCTTATGGTCTGAGACGAGAGGCCTGCGTCGACGAATCCATCATACTCTTCAAAGGAAGGTCATCAATGAAGCAGTATAACCCCATGAAACCGATCAAACACGGCTACAAGATTTGGTGCTTGGGAGACATGTCGGGCTTCATCCAGACCTTCCAGGTGTATCAAGGAAAGCAAGTAGAAACATCTGAACTTCAGTCTGAATTTGGGTTGGGGGGACGTGTGGTTCTTGACCTTTCTTCATTGATCCTAGGAAAGGGCTACACGCTTTTTTTTCGACAACTACTTCTCCTCCGTGTCACTGATGGCGAAATTGAAAATGGAAAAAACATGTGCCTGTGCCACAATACGGAGCAACCGAAGGCAGCTTCCAGAACTTCGCTTTGACAAGAGCTTGACACGGGGAGAGCACGACTTCAAAACTACCGAGGAAGGAATAACTCTCTTCAAATGGAAAGACAACAAGGTAGTCTACATTATTTCGAACTACCATGGCTGTGAAGTGGGAACTGTGGAAAGAATGGAGCGAGACGGCACAAAAATAACGGTCTCGTGCCCGAATGCGCTCTCGGACTAAAACATGTTCATGGGAGGTATTGACAAGGCGGACATGCTACGGAGTATATATGGAACCAACAGAAAATCGAAGAAATGGTGGCGCCGTTTGTTTTTTGGTTTCCTGGACATATGTCTTGTAAACAGCTATGTCGCCTACTGTGAGTTCAACGAAAAGATCCCCTACCTGGACCACAAGCGCTCCGTTGTGATGGGACTCCTCACCATGGGACAGTCGTCTAGTCGAAAAAGGGATTCAGATAGCAAAGGGGGTGGACAGTGTCTCAAGCGGGGCAAATCCTCCTACTCAGTGTGTGCAGATGTGCGAAGGAGTAGTCTCGGCTCACATTGGCCTGTTTTTGGAGAAAAACGTGGAAGGTGCGAGGTCTGTGCACAGTGCAAGCAAGAATCACGGCCTTTCAGCAAATGCACCTGTTGCGGAGTGTTTCTCTGCATATCTAAAGAAGGGAATTGCTTTGCAGCTTTTCACGAGATTTCCTAACAACCTCGTGTTTCTTATAGGCCAGTAGTACTGACGGGACACACATGTCCCGACTCACAAAAACTGTTCTGCTCAATAAATATTTGTTTTTGCTCCTGGGTTTCTTTAAATAGAGCCCTTCCTATTGTTTATTGAAAGTTTTACTACTCTGGGCAAATGTTAAGTAGGGTCAGGCAGCAAAGGGTTAAGCCATCGCACCCTGGCTCTGGAGTGTCCTAGCTACACAGCACAGCTGCAGCGCATGCTGACGCACATGAAGAAGCAGTGCAACGAGGGGCAGGTAAAGCTTGCACTTGTTGCAACCAATATGGCATGTACGAGAGCCAAAAGATGTGGAGCTCGTATCAAAGTACAGCCAACAGCTATTGCTTGGCACAGGCAGGGCATCACAAGAAGGCCCAAACGAGTGCCTGCAGGCCGTCCACCCAAAGGGCCCAGTGCCAAAAAGGTCAAGCAGCTGGAAGCACAGCATCCACCTAAGTATCGAGAGCGAGAGGGCACACGCAAAATCTCATGAAAAAGGACACTAATGCAAGGGGTGACTAAAGCTACTCGTGACATTTTCGTGCATATCCTACAGTGTGCAGATAGCTTCAACCTCTGAGAGCCTTTTAATCTTTATGCTGGGATTTACTCCGCTTGAACGTCTTTTGTCATACCTCTTTATTTTTATTACTACCAAACTTTGTAAGCATGCTAGGAGTGTACAATCTGCTCATGTCCCAAGTGTTGTGTGTGGACCTCCATATTCAGTTACCAAGCACGCAACTGCCTGCACTCAAGCTTTGTAGGCGTGCTAGGAGTGTGCAATCTGTTTGTGTCCCGTGTGCGGGCCTTTCTCTTTTGTTACCAAACATGTAAATGCCTCCGCTTGAACTTTGCAACCGTGCTAGGAGCGTACAATCTGCTCGTGTCCCGAGTGTTGTGTCTGGGCCTCTATCTTTTGTTACCAAGCATATAAATGCCTGCACTCATACTTTGTAAGCGTGCTAGGAGTGTGCATCCTACTCGTGTCCCGTGTGTTTTGTGCAGGCCTCTACGTTCTGTTACTAAGCATGTAAATGCCTGCACTTGAATTTTGTAGGCGTGCTAGGGGCGTGCAATCTGCTCGTGTCCCGAGTGTTGTGTGGCAGCCTCTATCTTGTTACCAAGCACGTAAATGCCTGCACTTTCTTGTAGGTATGCTGGGACTGTGCAATTTGCTCCGAGACCCAGAGCACAAGGACTTGTTGTAAATCTGCTGTTAAAGAAATACAGAATTTAGTAGTTGATTTTTCTGTTATCGTCATATATTCATCAATACCTAAACAGGAAATGCAATGAAAATCAAGTTTCAGTGCAGGGGAACAGTGGTCGAGTGTGTTAATGCAGTTGTACGCCTCAAGCATGGCAGCAACGGAGGATGTTTTGGCTGAGTGCACCGAGTGGCAACCTTTGCCACTAGCCACATTTACACAAATGCAACTTAGTTGCATTGAATCTAGTTGTCGCAATGCGGTCAAGTAAACGGCATAATGTGCTAGGGAAGTGCATTACATTCAAGTCTAAAGACAGTGTTGGATTGAGACGGCAAATTCGCATCCATTCAGATCACGTAAATAAAGGTCACATCGCATTTCGAAACAGGGAGGACTATCAGAAGGCACTCGCTGCGGAAGCGAGTGAACTGAGAACATGGCGGCAGCCAACCTTGGCGACAGAGAGCAGTCCTGCGTGGTCGCCCGCAGTTTTCTTTCGAGAAGAAACGCTAGCTTTTTATAGCCATTATAAGTGAGCGGAATATAGCTGAGCTGCTTGCTGAGGACAGCACTCATCCAAGCCTTGTGAATCACAACTTTTGCATCCGAGGGAGTCCCTAGAGGCTTTGGCTCAAGAACAAACGACGCCGAGAGCTCCAAGCACTGCATAATACCACATAATGAGTGGCTCCTACTTCTGTAAGGTTTCTGCCTGCGCTGGAGCCTCTCGGCCTTGGGATCCGGTCGTGGTTGGCAATGTTTGGCAAGGTGAGGCACAGCGGCGTCCCCAGAGCACTCGCAAACAATCCCGCTCACCAGGACGTGCGCACTTACATCGCCTCTGTTGCAGAGTTTTCCGGCAGCTTGACGCGGAGCTCAAAGCGCTTCCGTTTTGATATTACTTGCCTCTTGTAACTTCTTGCACAGCACTGAGGACAGTGGGCACAATCTCTAAGCTTGTAAAAGCATCGAAAGGGCCTCCACGTGTGAAGCAGCGGAAAACATGGTCATGTGGTGCAGCTTGTGCCGTAAACGCAGCTTAACTTTGAGATCTGCCACAGCGTGGCACCCCTTTCGTGTAGAACTTGATGCCCATCCACGTAAACATTGACGTGTCTGCTTCATTAGAAGGACGACTGGAGACAATGCGCTTAAGTCGGATTATGGAAACACGGCTAGTGAGTACACTGGCTAAGCACTCCTGTATCTTAAACGTATCAGTGTAAGCTTGCATCTCTTACATATGTCTGAATGAAGTCATCTGCATGGACTCGTCCAGGGTAGAATGCTTCCCCATGCTTGTAGGTACCTTGATTGATTCAAGCTTCAGGTAAGACAGTACTGTTTCGACATATACAAATAGAATGTGCAAAGCACAGCACAGTTAGCACAAACAAGCAAGTCAATTTTTAAAATTTTTCCCTTAGAATTGGTAAGCTGTAATCACAAGTACTAATGTGATGAAAAACACTCACTCAGGACAGCAATGTTGAGAAAACGCTGATGCATTTGGGACAGCAACCTTAGGTTGCTGTCCCGAGTGCATTAACTTTTTTCTCTATGCAATGCAAGTTGCAGAAAAAATTAAAGAAAAAGAAACATCATTTACCCCCCCCCCCTCCCCCCCCCCCCCCCCCCAATTTGCAGCCTGAACAAGCGTCCCCAAGATCTGGAGCCGATGAAATGCTGCCAATGTTTAACAAAGCCACATGCTGGGGTTGGCAAAGCACAGAGCACATAGTGAGTCCCACGTACTGCAAAGGTTTGGCTATTCCTGTCATTGCAGAGATTGGGCACAATTTGTTGTTTGCGAGTTTCATGGCGCAAGAGCTACGATGGCCATACTGCGCCAAACTAGGTAAACTGAAATTATTTAGAAACAATGTACGAAGAAAGTATTTCGGCTATAGTTTGTGTAAAATCGCTATATTTTCTAGAAAATCTAAAAGACGGTCAATTGATATTAGAGGCTTCTCTCCTAGGAACAGAGTAGGATGGAAAGGAATACAGTACTTGAAAAGCTCAGGAAAAAAGAACTTGTGTTGTTGTAGAAGACCAGGGCAAAGGAAAACATGTAGAACGGACAAGGTGTCTCCACACTGGTCGCACACTGGTGGTTCCTCACCAACAAGTAGGTAACGATGGGTAAGGAAGGTGTGGCCGATCCTGAACCGGCACAGAAGAACCTCACGGAAACGGCTCCGGTTATAGGAGCTTTCCCAGGTACCGATGCTTGGTTTGATGATATGAAGTTAGTTGTTATCGGCCAAATCCCACTCGGACTGCCACAGTTTTAAAAGTGAAAGCCGTATGGGCCTTGTTAGGTCTTGGTATGGTATGCATGCGCGTGATGGTAAGAGGTTACGCGACGAGGCGGCCAGCCTATCTGCAGCCTCGTTGCCTGCAATGCCCACATGGCTCGGAATCACACAAAACCTAATATCCTTCCCATCTCCGAGGCCCAGTTGAACTTCAGCACGTACAAGTTGAGTTAGCTTGTTGTTGGTTGGATTAAGTGAACATGCTGCAGTAACAACGCTCCGGGAGTCTACAAAAAGAACTGCTTTCATCACTTTGCTCCGGATAATATAGTCGTGCTGAGAGCACGCCATATAGCTCGGCAGTAAAGATGATAGCGACATTATTTAGCCGTGTCACATGTGTAAACGAATCAGAATGAACAGCTGAGCCTACATACGTTAAGGACTTGGCTCCGTCAGTGTAAAATTGATGATAATTCTTGTACTTTTCTTGCAGTGCAAAAAATTCCTGTTGTAAAATGAGTGGAGAGACATTATGTTTATTAAATTTTGTGAAGTACCAATCACAAGCTATAGGTTTGATATCCCATGGGGCAATTTGACATGCACTTTCTATGGGGTAGATATTTCCACGAGGCAGGCCGAGAGACAGACGAAGGTTGTCAAAACGAAGACTCAGGGGTCGAACGACAGTTGGCTTGTGGTCAAAGGTACGCCAAAATCTCGACTCTCGGATATAAGTGTGAGCTGGATGACTAGAATCCGATAAAACTTTGTAAACATAGACTAGACTAAGGAGCTGCCGCCTTTTCTCGAGTGACATTTCATTAGAGTCAACATACAAGCTTGGGATAGGGGATGTTCAAAAAGCACCACTTGCTATACGTAACCCAGGATGGTGTACTGGATCAAGCATCTTCAATGCAGATGGTCGAGCAGATGCATACACAATTGCACCATAATCAAGACGTGATCGTACGAGAGAGGAATAGAGACGAAGCAGACACCTTTTATCGGAGCC